AGCTAGTAGTAATGTAGCTAGTAGTAATAATGTAGCTAGTAGTAATGTAGCTAAAGTAAGTTTAATCAATAATTTAGTTTTGAAAATATTTTCAGAGACTTGCGAAGGTCAACAACCCCGGGATCGAGATTGATACCATTTGGCGTTACAGTATTTAACAGTGCTATCCAATAAGCTTCTTTAATTTCCCTCAGTCTGTTAGATGTGAAATTTGTCTCTATACTCCTAAATGCAGTAGTTATGGAGATTTTAATCACCCCCTTTCACAAAGTCCTCAACTTGACGACCTTCTAAACTTAACATACACTGAACCTTCTCTCTGTCACAAAGCAAAATCATGTATTAATCTTGAAATAAACAATTCCTTCAGCACAACTGCCCAAACGCACTCTGATCTAAACTCTAGTAAGACTTTGAGACTACTCAGAAAACTGAATGAAAAAAGACTGAGGTACATGCACCATGTTGATGTACTGGGACAACATTTACAGAATCAAACTATACCTAAATCCCTTAATTTAAATCCATCAGCTACAATAGGAGCTAACGACAAATTGTTTTGTTCACACTGGAAGAAAATTCTTCATTCCACCTCACTTACACTTACAAAACTCACACAAGACTTCTGCAGATCCACATTGACAACCTGGAAAAGAAAATTGCTGCTACAAATTCAGAGAACACAATATGTTCCACTGAACAATAAAAACTTGATGCATTTATTAACAAAACAATAAAGACTTTTGAAAATAACGCGAAAAGCAACAACAAAAAATACAACATGATCTCTCACACAAGGACAAAGGTTTCTCCCATCCAAGCCACAATTTCTGTTTACAAAATATTAACTTTAAACAAATTCATACTAGTGTCATCTGTGAGCCGTTAGTTAATAACTCCAACAATGTAAACATGTACATTGAGCTCTCTCCTAAAACAGATCCTACTTCTGATTTCACTAACATAGTTTCTTCTCCATCTGATCGACACAAATCCAAGAACACTTCCAATGTCGTCAATCTGTCCTTTAAAACACTAACTGAAGCTCAACACAAACTTCATAGTAAAGGTTTTAATTTCCGACCTCCAAGAATTTGCACGCAGATTAAAACTTTAAGAATGTTTTCACAACCAAACCACTGAAAGAAATAATTTCGACTCACAGTTTAAAGAAAAATCCTTCTGGTCACCCTCAACTAACAGGGAGTCACATCTAGAGAGTTTTATTACTGCAATTGAAAATGAAGTAATTCAAGCCATTAACTCTGACTCAAAGTACGAAACAATCTCTCCTATAGTGAACACACTGCTCTAATGTCACTGAAACACGAAAATAAAATTAATATTAAACCAGATGATAAGGACGGTGCCACTGTCATAAAACCGGCTATATCAACGAAGCTTACCGACAACTTAATGACACAAACCACTATAAAAAGGTAGATTTAAACCTCAATCCGCAATTTGTTAAAATTATCGAAGATATGCTATGCAGTTTACAGAAAAGCCAACACATCAGCCGTGAAACATTAGTGTGTTTGTTTGTTTGTAATTAAGCACAAAGCTACACAATGGGCTATCTGTGCTCTGCCCACCACGGGTATCAAAATCCGGATTCTAGCGTTGTAAGTCCGCAGACAAACCGCTGTACCACTAGGGGGGGGGTGGCTGAAACATTAGTTCCTTTCACCTAAACACCCCGTTCCAAGTCGCTTTAACATGTTACCAAAAATACATAAACCCAACAATCCTGGTCGTCCTATTATTTCTAATTGCGGTATGCCTACTGAAAACGTATCTGTTTATGTTGATCACCACATTAAAGATATCCCCATACGTCTGACATCGTATATTAAAGACACAACACATTTTTTAAACATGATCTCTGACATTAACAGCAATGGAAAACTTCCTCCAAACACTATTCTCAGTACAATGGATGTTTCTTCTCTATACACAAACATTCCCCACAATGAAGGCCTAGAATCTTCTCTGCAAAAACTAGACAAACCCAACAATCAAATTCTTACAGACTTAGCTGAACTAGTACTTACACTTAACATTAGCTGAACTAGTACTTACACTTAACGTTAGCTGAACTAGTACTTACACTTAACGTTAGCTGAACTAGTACTTACGCGTAACGTTAGCTGAACTAGTACTTACACCTAACGTTAGCTGAACTAGTACTTACATGATGTTATGACATTACACATAAGTCATTATTTGATATTATAAAGTGTACCAACTGTTTAATGATGTTATGACATTACACCTAATACATTATTTGATATTACAGAGCGGACTAACTGTTTAACGATGTTATGACATTACACATAAGTCATTATTTGATATTACAGAGCGGACTAACTGTTTAATGATGTTATGATATTACACCTATTACATTATTTGATATTACAGAGCGGACTAACTGTTTAATGATGTTATGACATTACACCTAATACATTATTTGATATTATAGAACGGACTTAATGACTTAGGTGTAATGTCATAACATTATTAAACAGTTGGTACGCTTTATAATATCAAATAATGACTTAGGTGTAATATCATAACATCATTAAACAATTAGTCCGTTCTATAATATCAAATAATGACTTAGGTGTAATATCATAACATCATTAAACAGTTGGTACGCTTTATAATATCAAATAATGACTTAGGTGTAATATCATAACATCATTAAACAGTTTTGGATATTATAGAGCGGACCAACTGTTTAATAATGTTATGACATTACACCTAAGTCATTACTTGATATTATAAAGCGTACCAACTGTTTAATGATGTTATGATATTACACCTAAGTCATTATTTGATATTATAGAACGGACTAATTGTTTAATGATGTTATGATATTACACCTAATACATTATTTGATATTATAGAACGGACTAACTGTTTAATGATGTTATGATATTACACCTAATACATTATTTGATATTATAAAGCGTACCAACTGTTTAATGATGTTATGATATTACACCTAAGTCATTATTTGATATTATAAAGCGTACCAACTGTTTAATGATGTTATGACATTACACCTAAGTCATTACTTGATATTATAGGACGAACCAACTGTTTAATGATGTTTAAAGCGGACCAACTGTTTAAGGATGTTTAGAACGAACCAAGTGTTTAATGATGTTTAGAGCGGACCAACTGTTTAATGATGTTTAGAATGGACCAACTGTTTAATGATGTTTAGAGTGGACCATCTGTTTAATGATGTTTAGAACGGACCAACTGTTTAATGATGTTTAGAGCGGACCAACTGTTTAATGATGTTTAGAGCGGACCAACTGTTTAATGATGTTTAGAGCGGACCAACTGTTTAATGATGGTTAGAATGCACCAACTGTTTAATGATGTTTAGAGTGGACCAAATGTTTAATGATGTTTAGCGCGGACCAACTGTTTGATGATGTTTAGAGCGGACCAACTGTTTAATGATGTTTAGAATGGACCAACTGTTTAATGATGTTTAGAGCGGACCAACTGTTTAATGATGTTTAGAGCGGACCAACTGTTTAATGATGTTATGTTACAGATTTGCTTGGTTTCTTCTTAACAAAAGGTAAATTTCAATAAAGGTTATGGGACGTAGAGGCCTAATTCGTTCCCTGATTGGCCATAAGGCTGACACAAGCTGTGCTGATGTGCCTTGAATAGGCGAAACTGCAGTCCACTGCAGAGGGTACGGTCAATGAGGTAATGTATTTGGCCTCTACGTCACAGATTCTCTTTTGAATTTTAGCTTTGGTGAAAAGGAAAACAACTATGTAATATATACGTATAATTATTAAGGATTCCGTTTTTATATCACTGTACAAACCTTCATTTGTTTTTTCAACTCTGCGATATCAGTGCCCTCTGGTGGTACTGGCACATTATAAAATTCCCCCTCTACAGCAGTAAGCAACTTGAACCAACCATTTACGGGTAATTTTAGGACTTCAGAAATTCCAAAGGAGAGAGACCCCATGAAGTCGTTCCTTGATGTTCTATCCCAGTCCCAGACTTCGATCAACACTCTCCTATCCTTGTCCTCAGGCTGCAGGTTGCTGGGTACGAGATAATAAGTCACGTATAATAATATCCTATTCGCGTATTAGTATGATGCATGTCTTTTAAGGAATGGAACTGTCGAAACTATAAACATGCCAAAATCTTCGTATGCATTGTTACTAACAATGAAAACAATTGAGGTTTTAAAGGTTGAACACAATGATTATCACTACTTAATGTGTTTACAACAATGATCTCTAAAGTAAACAAAACCTAAGTTACTGTGTACGTTGTCATTATTTCTGTAAAACATTGTTTTTGTTTCTTTCTAATTCAAATGCGTAGGCTGTTATGTTAGTTACACGACTGTGTAAAACAATGTTTTACAGAAATAATGACGACAATTAGAAAAACAAACAAATGCGTAGGCTGTTATGTTAGTTACACGACTGTGTAAAACAATGTTTTTACAGAAATAATGACGACAATTAGAAAAACAAACAAATGCGTCGACTGTTATGTTAGTTACACGACTGTGTAAAACAATGTTTTACAGAAATAATGACGACAATTAGAAAAACAAACAAATGCGTAGGCTGTTATGTTAGTTACACGACTGTGTAAAACAATGTTTTTACAGAAATAATGACAACAATTAGAAAAACAAACAAAGGCGTAGGCTGTTATGTTAGGTACACGACTGCGTAAAACAATGTTTTACAGAAATAGTGACAACAATTATAAAAACAAACAAAGGCGTCGACTGTTATGTTAGTTACACGCTGTAATTCACGTTGAAGTTATCAAAATATACAAAACAAGCTGAGGTACCCGTCCTTTGTCTAGGTTATGAAATTAAAAAAATGTTAGGGTGGATGCTATGATAAATAACACAAAAATCCTAACTTTCACACATATTAATTATAACACAACATATTATTACAGTATTCGTTATTACCTCACCAAAAATTTTGTATAAGCTTTAAGAACTCGCTATGTATACACATAAAACATGGTATACACTGTGTGATGGACATGATGACTTTGAAGGAAGAGGTGGCGGCTAAAGTAGTGGCGATAGGGACGCTTTTTGTTACCCGCTTTCAAACCCAACTTTTTTAACGTTCTTCCACAGTGTCTCATGTGATTAATTAATTGACGGTCATTGGTCGCAGAAGTGTTTTACGGGCCGAAGTTGAAAGGTCATGGGTCAAAGTAGGAAGTGGTTATAACTCAGGAAACTGCTCTTCTTATCAGCCTTATGGTGGCTGTTGGAGTAAAAACTTCAGCTGAGTTTATGTATTATTGGAATAGTGGCAGCCATTTTTCTTCATTGCATTTCTCCATAGAGAGTACTAGCACTCTCCGAGATATATAAGACCTTTGTGTGTCCTATTCTTTTCATTTAAAATTAACTTAGTAAAAGGTAGGTGTAATTACACAGTGTTACAACGGTTCTTTGAAACAAATTACGTTGGCTTGGAAAGAAACATTAAATGAAAACAGTCAGCAAGTTAGAACACTTTGAAGGAAACTATTTAAAAATAGTCAACAAGTTAGAACACTTTGAAGGAAACTATTTGAAAACAGTCAGCATGTTAGAACACTTTGAAGGAAACTATTTGAAAACAGTCAGCAAGGTATTACACGTTGAAGGAAACGATTTGAAAACAGTCAGCATGTTAGAACACTTTGAAGGAAACTATTTGAAAACAGTCAGCATGTTAGAACACTTTGAAGGAAACTATTTGAAAACAGTCAGCAAGATAGAACACTTTGAAGGAAACTATTTGAAAACAGCCATCAAGATAGAACACTTTGAAGGAAACTATTTGAAAACAGTCAGCATGTTAGAACACTTTGAAGGAAACTATTTGAAAACAGTCAGCAAGGTAGAACAC